CAGGGGCCTTTTTCTTCGGCAAATGCGCTAATATATGTTTTAGTTCTTTCAATGTAATATCCCTATCCGGTGGCACGTTGGTAGACATCTGTTCTGTACGTATAGTTGCTTGTTGCTTAGAATCTTCGGTTGGGTCATCCTGACTGAAGACGGAATCCAGGATCTGTATTAATGTTTCCCTTGTGTAGTCCTGAGTAACATTTATTCGTGTAGGGATGTGTAACTGGGGCAGGCCTAAACAGCTTTCCAGTCATAATCTTATGATGAATACCATAGATGTTTTGTGACTCTGTACAAAAAGCATGCCATGAATTGATTTTAGCCTGCAAAATTGAACGTTTGTACTTCGCTCTTGCCTGTTGATAAATTGGGAGGGTGTTAGCTGGAAGGTTTAGTCTACGCTCAGTCTTTAACCTTCGACGTAATGCGCGACATTGCCTCTGCTGAATACGAAGTTCACTACTCCACCAATTGATCGTAGTCAGTTTTTTAGTACTACGCTGTGGCAATATGTCATCACACGCTTGCTGTATACACTTTTGTAGAGTCACTGTGAAATTCTCCAATTCGTCTCTAGAGTTCGCTTGAGTTAGCTGTTGTTCAATACCTTCAATCAAATTCTTGACTCTAGTAGTAAAAGCACGTTTACGCCTACCAGGTAGGTTGTAACGACGAATAATATTAATTGTCGTCGGTTGCTCTATTGAGAAAGTAATGTAACGATGGTCGCTTAAGCTAATTTCATCATTAACCCTCCAATTTTGTATTAATGGCGCAGCTGAGGCTGAACTGACCGTCAAATCAGGCCAGCCTTGTGCGTAGATTCTGTCATATGTCGGAGGCGCGTCTGCTGTGTTATGTAAAACAAGATGATTAGCAGACAGAAAATCCTCCAGAAGGCTTCCTTTGTCATTCGTAGAAGCATACCCCCAAACCGTGTTGTGGGCATTATAATCGCCTGTAATTATTTTAAGAGGAATTTTAATCTTTTGCAGGGTATCTGTAAGAAACTGTGTAGTAGCCAAAATATCTGCAGAAGGAGGAGAGTATTGTGAGATAAACAGTAAAGATGCTTCTTGTGCTTCTATAATGATTGCAACATTATCGCGTTCAATTGCTACGATAGCCGGAGACCATTTTTTGTTGCAGTTAATAATAATGGCCCTAGGAGGATATTCTACATTTCCTTGTTGATAAATTGTCCCATTGCAATGGAAATCCCACTGCAATTCCGTCTCGCGTGTAAGGTTCCTGAGCCATTATCAGGTCAGCACCAAATTCTGCTGCAAATTGTGCTAGTTGAGCAACTGCTGCTTTTGCTCGCTGTAAATTTATTTGTATACATTTGATAGATAATGTACTGCATATTGTATCTTTATTTATGACGTTTGATAAATCAAGATTAGCAGTATTCTGTATTATCTCGGATTGACTGTACCTTGCGCTGGTATTGTGGGTGTATTGTGGGCATTCTGGAGCATAGGCTGGATGGAAGTAGCTGTATTTGGTGCCATAGCGGGAGTTGGCCTCACCACAGTTGATACACTGTGGTTGTTGGGCTGTGCAATCACGGTTCCCATGTTCTTCTGCACAGTAGGAGCAATATTGTTTTCTACTTCTGCAGTCAGCTTGCTTATGCCCATATTGCTAGCATCTAAAACATCGCTGGAGGCCAATATGCTCTGAGACTCTATGAGCCTGCCAGCCGAGGAAGATTTTTCTGTGCTGCATGATGGCTGCAAAGCCTGTCGGCTCACACTCAAAAACCCACTTGATTTTGCCTTTACGACGTTCTTGTAATCGGAATAGGGGTTTAAAGTTGGTGCTAGGCATTCCAGTGACGCCGCTGAGTTCTGCGAGTACTTCTTCTGATTGTGTGGATACCGGCAAGTCATGGACGGTGCATCTTGGCTTACGTTTCCATGGACGGGTGACTTCCGCTGGGATATCTTGTTGTTGAAGCTGTTGTTCGAGGATTTCGACATCTTCAGTGGATTTACAGACAACCTCGAAACCTCCTTTGTTGAGCTTAGAAATTCTTTCTATACCTGCCTGTAGCTTGGAAAGTGGTACTTTAGCGTTTAGCTGCGCCTTTAGCTCAGCCTCTGTGACGTCCGCTTTGGGACGTATGTATAGACTTGGATTCTTATGTTTCTTTATAATCTCTGCAAAAGTTGGTCGAGAAGCTGTTGGCAAAGGTGGAGGTGCCTGTAAATCAGGTGGTTGTTGTGCTATCGGTAGAGGCTGAGAGCGAGCCAATTCACAGCAAAGCACTGTTGATGTATTAACACCTGTGTCTATCTTTGTTGGCTTGGCTGCTAAATTCTGCACCTTGTAAGGCCAGCGTCTGCAACGCAACCAGGGAGTCTAATAGTCTGGTGCGAAGAACTGTAGGTAAAAGATATTTAGTACTTCTGGTGGTGGCCGCTACCTGTCTAATATCCTCACACAAAATAGCTACTTTCTCTGCGTAAGGCAAATCAGAGGTCAATAAATTAGTGGCGTCTACGTCACTTTGTGAATGCGCGGAATCACCGTCAATTGGAATCACTGATTGACAGGACATGCTGTCCAAGAACTTTCTCAGAGTTGCAAATTATCACACTCGTAGTGTAACTCTTTATCAAATACTTAACGTAAAACAGCTATTGCTTATTGCTGTATAACAACAAATATACCAATATATGATATGATAAAATTTGGTAACAATAGGTTCCCTTTCACACCCAGTAACAAGGAAATTACAGTAATTAAAACATGTAGTAGAATAAGTAAGATACTAAACATAATTAACAGATGAACTATGACTAAAAATTCTCTAAATACAATCAAACTGACTTGATTTTTAAGTGCAAGTAGAAAACATAAAAATACAAGTAATTAAAATACAGCAATTAATACAGTAATTAAAAGATTAAATAAACATTGCAAGTAATTAAAAGGTAAAATACAGAAGGTGCATAAAGATCAGTTCTCATGTAAAACACATCAAAAGCACGCAACTAGAGCTTTAAAACTAAATTTTAGAGTTTGTCGAGTAGTGTTCAAAGTTATCGAAAAGTTATTCGACGACGAGAGCTAATGTCGAAACTGTCAGATGAAAACAATGGAATTAAACACTATGTATTCCTAAGCTTCTTAAAGGAAGGACGAACACTATGGAGCTCCAATATAAAACAGAATTTAGAAAAACAATCAGTATTATGTTTATTTGGGTCAATATTTTCAGCTGTAAAAGAAATGGTTAGGCTTAATTTAGTAAATCCTAAGATATTGCAAATAAAAGTAAATGGATGTAAAAAGATTAAAGAATTTTGAAAAAATACCAGTTCTTGAAATTCCTGATTGTGCAATGGATCCGAAGATATATACATATATTTTAAAATTAAAAACTAATTTCTGGACATTAGAATATTTTGGCCGATTTCCTAGGCCTTACCAGGGGAACCACACGTGGTAGCTAGGCGGGACCTTTTCGTTGCTGTAGCGGCAGAAGTGGTGAACAAAAACACGGTAAATTGCGACTGCCTATTTTCTTTTGTTAGAAGCACTAAAACACACAAAATCTGGAGAAATATCACTCACACACACTTAAACGATGTATCCAAGGATGCAGGAGATATTCACGCACATTTTGATATATAATACACACATCGCACTCAAAAACTTCCACTGAAAATTGGGCAAAAACCAAGAGCTCGGCGTGATGGCGTCCTTCCTCGTTGCTTGCTCCAAGCTCTCTCATGTGCAATATATAGGGCCGTTCATTTGGAATTGACTTCCTCATTGTCTACCGACTCATTCTTGTTGTCATTGAGACGATTAGTAGCCAGAAGGGGAAGGCCGAGAATAATTTATTCCGACAACGAAGCTAATTTCAGAGGAGCGCAAAAGAGAACTTAGTAACATCGACTGGGAAAAAAATTTGAGGCAAACGGCTATACAACGTATAATATGGAAGTTTAATCCTCCCATTGCCGCTTGGTCGGGAGGCTGGTGGGAGAGGTTAGTTCATGTAGTAAAGGTACTGTTGAGAAGGACACTCGCTAACGCGATTCTTACAACCAAGGCGTTATACACAGTTTTGTGCGCCTGCGAGTCAATAATTAACTCTAAACCTCTTATGTATCTGTCCGAAAATTCGGATGATTTAATTCCACTTTCCTCAGCCATGTTTCTCATCGAGAATCGTAGCTTAGGTGTTCCGGATGTTGATTTCTGCGATTTGAAAGGTCTTCGAAAAAGAGCTAGACATCGCCAAAAACTACTTAATGATTTAAGGCATAGATTTAGGAATGAATATTGAGGCCTTCTGGTCCAAAATAAGAAGGATCCATCGTTAGAGCTACGGTTGGGTGAAATTGTCCTAATAGGAGATGACGTAAAAAAACGGATGCATTGGCCTTTAGCTAAGGTCATTCGACTAATTCCTAGTGCTGAGCATTCAGATTCTAATAACTCTTCAAATGACTCCAGTAACATCCTGCAAGGTGCTAAAGTGTCAAGATTTGGACGTGTGATCAAGGTGCCTCAGAAATTAGATCTCTTCGACCAGGTACTGTATGTCTTTGAGCCAACCTGAAGTCGACTCAAAGATGGGGAGAATGTTGGAGACGACTGCTGCAGACAGACGATTACGTAACGGCTGTGCGAAGTGGACAGAAGGAGCGCCGCATTTGATTGGACTATATTTTATTGTTCTTAGTTTTTTCCTTTTCACTCAGTTATATGTATGCACTTGATAGAGTAATGGAACGTTTTCAGCTTGTGTGAGATATCCATATTAAACCTTTACATTAATAATCCCTGCTGTGATTATTTAATTTGTAAGCTGCGCGTTGTAGCCATGAGAGTTGCAACAATGTAGTTTCGATTTTAAATATCCTTAATAAATTCAACGACTCTTGGTCTATTTAAACCAAAACGAATACATTTAATAATATAACATTCACACGCAAACATTTAGTAATAATTCAGCAATACAAATAAGCTTTAGAAAAAGAATTACAACCGTTACAGGTCAGCTACACTTTTAGCGACCGAATTCTACGAACGAAAAATCTCAAAAGCGTGTTGCCAACGCAGGGCAACGAAAAGGTGGAAATTAATTCGATAGGCATGGAAGTAAACACAAGTATATATCTAATTTACTTTTAATTGCTTTATTTTGAATTCTAACTAATAGTAGCTTTTAGCGCTATTTTAGTAACTGCCTACTCTCTATGTATTATCTCCAAGAAGCCTAAATAAAAAACTATACTTTATGAAAACCCTTTTACTTCCATCCCTCAATACTTTAATTTCCACCCATTTGGTTTTAAAATTTTTGAAGGCAAGTTTGTTAATTTTAATTTACTAGTTTTATCTTTAAATTTCTAATTAACTACTTATTTTGAACTTTAATTTTAAGATTTTATCATTTTTGATCTTCTTATGATTTTGAATCAACTTTTAATATTCTAATATGTTTACTTCTGTTTTCGAATTTTAAAATGAGAGTGTATGAGATATGTTTTTTAAAGTAAGCATCTCGTTCTGATTAATTTTGTTCTTATTGAGAACTTTAATTTAAAGATTATTTGCTATTTTTTTACATGATTCTATTGGCTTAAATGGACTAATGCCTGTATTCAGATTGAGTATTAATTGTGACTAAATGGCTTGAATCTAGCAAATAATTTGATGCTTACTTGGAAGTAAGACGAAATACTCTCTTAATTTAGTTGTTGTTAATTGATGGTAGATTGGTTTAGCCCCTTGATAAGTGGATTAATCGGCGATCAATGACAATAGCTACTTTTTTCATATTTAAAATTTACTTTTGGTTTTGGTATTTTTGCGATTAAAGATTTTTCTTAGCAGATTTTTAAACAAAGAAGAAAGTTAAAATACCAATTAATTTTTAGAATACTAATTTAAATTGTAAAAAAATTCTTTGATGGTTTTAAATTCAATTTGTGTTCCTTGGAGATGGTACATGAAAAGTTTTCTTATTATTATGAATTATTGGTTTATATATATATATACTATATATACATGAAATCAACCAATTGTCAACAAACCAGAATTCCAGAAAACTATATGTGAGAACGGAAGCTTCTCACATTACGCAGTTCATCAGCATGGACACTATCATTAACCCCTTCACTATCATTAATCGGAATCGCAGAACTACATGTGCATATAATACCCGCCAAACATGTTCTTCCCTCTCTTTTGCCGACTGCGTCTCGAACGAGTATGCGGGGCTGCGGCCTTTGCATATCTCACACACTCACGGAATGATGTCTTTTTTTTTTTTTTTTTTTTTTTTTTTTTTTTTACGGCGAAGAAGGAGCGAAGAAACACAAGAATTGCACAAATTTTCCTGAAAAATTATACTGAAAATTAATCCAGCTATGAAATAATTATGCAAAAATTTAACCCGTCTTGAAATAACTTGTTAATGTGTGTTTCGCATCAAGAAATTGCTGCTATTGTCATCTGCTCGTCTTCTCGTTGTCTTTACCTTGTGCTGACCAGAAGAATGTGTGTAAAAAAAGAGTAATCTGAGCATATAAAAGGCAACATCTGCAATGTGTTTACATAACGTGAAAATATTTCCAGTACGAAAAGTGAACGATGAAATAAGACATAAATTTTG